ACAAGTATGATAAAGTGATGATTTTGTTTTATATATTTTTGTAGTAACATTTGCAATATTTTAACAGATTATACCAGAAACAAATTATTGGATGTGATATTTATATTTGCGTGTAACATAAAAACTTTTTTTTATACAAGACAAAAATTACGGGATCTATACTGAAAAAAATTTCGCAATTTATAACACATTGATACGATTACTTATTAGCGCTATTTAGATATCATAAGAAGAAACGTCAAAATATTTGTAACATGACGGATTATATATAATATTTGCTTGTTTTTTTATAAAATTTTTAAATATATGCTCGATGTATACGGTTGTTAATCTCGGTAGTAAAATTCGTATTGTGCGTGCGGAAAAGAGATAATTTATTTACGTTATTTATATATATTAGGCAGGAAAGGGGACGGGAATCGATAATACTAATTATGGCGGACAATTAAAAGTGTGAAAAAATAGCGGAAAATGTTAGTCGGGCAAACTAAAAATAAAACGTTTGACGAGAAAATCGCTGTCCCTGCACATAAGTTTTTACAAGTCGCTGTACATAACCGCGTGTGGTCATCCTTGCACAATTATCGACTTCAAGTTGATCCAACAGCCCTGACCTTAGGGCTACGCCACGTGATGTATAACGCCTTATAAAGCGCGAATACAGAAAGTAGATTCGATCGTTTCTCTATATCCTTTCATAAAGCGACACTCGCCCATTGCAACGTTATCTCGTCGAGATATAAATTTATGGGAACCAAGGTGTTATAAATGTATTGTTCAAAAAAAAACTTTTGATCAAAAGTGTATATTATTTTGTAAGTGTATATTATTTAATTTAATAGTTGGAAATTGAAAATTTGTATGTTAAAAATTAAAAATTGCTCATTTAACATATATTATAAAAATTGAGATTTTCTATGGATAATTAGCTGTTGTTAATTATGCCCTTTTCGAAACTCACACTCTTTTCGTTATGGATTCAATAATTTATTTAACATATCCGGTAATGTAATAATTTTTTGTCAAAGTTAAGAAGAAAAGCAGAAATTATTAGCCAGAGAATATTGATATTGATATAGGAAATGAAAAACATATTCTAATACATATTTTATACAAAGACATTATATTCTCCGGCTATTAAGTCTTTATTATAAAAATATATTTATAGTCTTAAATGCTTTATGCAATGCGTGACGCGTATAATTAAAGACTGGATTGGTATGCAAAAATAATGAAGTATGCTAAGAGACACGCAAAATTCAGCAAAATAAAATTTACAATAATAAAAAATAAAAAAAAGATAAACACACATTGTATACGATACTTCTATTTGATTTTTTTTCCATTTTGTTATATTTTGTCAAATTTACATTGAAAGCTACGATTTATAATTCTTGATTCGATATACGGTACAAATAAAAAAGAGAAATTCAATCGTTGACAAGCAGAATTTCGGGCAAATTAATTTGCTCTCGGATACTTCGGCGGAATTAATGCGATCGTGATTATTTATACAATCCGCAATCGTGCAACTGCATACAGGTCGCGTGCAGCTTGTACGTCTGTACGCGGCATACAGTTTGTATACGTTGAATGGTAAGTGGCATACTCACGTTACAAAACGATGATCGATCGGTTGGTACAATTCGCACGTGACCTCCTATGTAATGGGCGATACAGGCATTGCGAATGCACATTGTGTGAGAAACGTTTGCGAACAAATCTGTTCGACAAATTAATTTTGATCATATCAATAGCAATATCACGGCGATCAATTTCGATATTGAAGAAGTTACTCTGCGAGTTATATATGCATACATATATACGCGCACAAATGATATAATTCTTTTATTATAATTCTCTTAATTTATTTCTGTTAAACTTTTAATAAGATATTTTTTACGTAGTGTAAAGCTAAATATAGCTAAAATAGATAGAAAATATAGATTTATTATTTTAATTTTTTGTATATATGATATTTTATAATGAATATATGTACATATGAATATCTCGCATTTGATGTCTCAATTCGTTTAATTTGTAAAGTTAAAAGCTTAAAATTAAAAAGCCTTTTATGAAATATATATTTAATATTGGAAAAGATTTAAATACTATATATTATATTACGTAAATCAAAGAGTAACCTGACTGAAATAATTGAACAGAAAATATTGAAGCTAGATTTAATGATTGAAGATTTTATCAGTTTGTAGGCTATAGTACGAAGGCTACAGTCCGATATTAATTAAGTAACAGGATAGTTGCCGAGCATCGTCAATTTAATCGCTCGTGAAAAGTCCGGGGGTTCTGAAGACAGTTTCTGGTCATGCGAACATGTCACGTGAATAATTCATTCCTCAGAATCGGCCGAGTAAGATCCGTTTTCTTTCGTCTGAGCCACCCGCGTTCCAATTAGAGCGAAACTCTTCGATCGACCGTTCTTTGCTCGTTACGAAAACTCTTGTTGATTTTCTATGTAGGCACGAGCGAGGAAAGGGCAGGATGAAAGGAATGGCAGCATGAAAGATACACAGAAAGAGAACGATAGACGGTCTCAGTAACTCGCGGACTCATTAAGCTTCGTTTTACTTGAGCTTTTCTCTAATACCTATCGCTTTATCTTCATTCTTTTTACTTTGATCAACGTCGGTTTGCTCGAGAAGAAATTCGTATTAAATTCACATAAAACTCGTTGAAATCGACATTTGTCATTCTCGCGTTTGCATTGTTTTGAATTTTTGAAATATATTATATTATTTCTATTTTTTGTGGTGCTCTTTTTCTGGTGGAATTAAATATTTTTATTTAATTATGATATTTTATGATATTATTTTATGATATCCGCGCGCGATATAACATTGAATAGCATGTTTACTCAAGAAAAGTCTTTAAAAATGCTTTTTACGATTTTAAATAAATTGAATTTTTTTAGAGAAATATTCAATTTGTGACACAGTAATATTCTTTTTAAAATATTTGCGCGCGAGTATAATATGTTTTAGAAGAGAGAGGGCATAAATTCTATTATTCTCATATATTTAGAAACTATTGATTACTCAATACGCGGACAGTAATCAGATTGATAATTAACTACATCTGAATCCATTAATAGTAACAATAAGCAACAGTATTATATATCTTCGCTGTCCGCTTTAAGTAATTCTCTATTACGCGGTATAAAATATCGATCCCGGCAAATTGCGATTCCGTAACTCCGATCTGTGTGATTATGTTGTGCTTTATGCGATTACGAGTAATAACAGGTGGTTTACAACAAAATACATTTGAAATTATTTCAATCTATGTGAATCTTTAGTTTTTTTTTAAATATGCATAATTCGCTTTAACTGTTACATACGTTAAGTAATTATTATGTATTTGCAAACAACAATATATTTTTTATTTAATAGAATTTTAAGTTAATTTCTTTTTTAATTGTTAAAGCAATTATATCAGACATTTAAAGCTAGAAGGAATCCTTAAGAAAGAATCTTTATTACAAATATATTCCGATCATTTTGAGATGTTTTTATAGCAGTTTAATATATATGTTAGATTAAAATGCACGTCATCTGCAAGACGTAATATATGTTTTTTTAGTTTTAAATAGAATCGTCTTATTGTGTAGTTAGTACTTGTAAAGAAATATCTTTTGACATAAAAAGAGTTAGTTATTCTATATTTTTTATAAATATTACTTTTTAAAATATACTCGAAGTTCTATTACGAATTAAAACTTGCTCGATATCGTTCAGCATACGATTATACATAACAAAAGAGTGTGAAGTCCGAAAGACGCTGCTTCGTGTCTTTACACGGATATAATGTACAATATAAAGCGCTATATATATAAGCATGAATGTAGATATGTAGCTATGTACGAGTCTATAATCATGAAGTCATATAAAGTATTAATATGCCATTACAATTTTCGAAAGAAACATATTATCAATACAGCTAATAATCCATGATATTTTCAGACTATCTTTGACAATCTTACGCGATAGAGAATTTGAGAAAGTGGTGAGCTTTAGTCATTCTTTTTTAAGTAATAGTGATATTAGAACATAATAAATATAGAATTTATTAGAAAATTTTTTAGTATTCGCCAAATGCTATAAAAAAACGCGCACATTTTTTGTTTTACAAACACGCAATGTATTTGTAATTGCTTTATTTTGTGTAAATAGAATTTTTTGAGCGGAAATTGTGACGTTTTGTGATACCTCAGGACGTAATCAAAGATCTTAATGTTAGAAATGTTTTATCACACTGCTTAATGTTAAAAATGTCAGTTACACAATTATAAGCTTTCTGTTCCATTTTTTCGTTAAATTATTATCTACAGTTTATCTTTCAATATTTGCTCAGTGTATTAAATTTTAAGACAATATAGAGATATAAATTTGGAAAACATCAATAAAATTTAGAGAATGTTTGCAAATGACAAGCTGTCATATTTAAAAAAAGCTTCAACTTTTGAAGATTCGGATGCAGAACTTTTATATTGCGGGATCTTCGGATTCGCCTAAAGCGAATCCGAGTATTCATCGGAATTTCTTTCGCGGACACGGGAATTCAATTAAGCCTCACGCGCAAACGTATACGTATATATTGTCAGTCAAATCTCTTTGGATTGAAAAGTGGAATTCCGAGAGGTACAAAAAGTTTGACACGGCAGATTTGCCGGCCTTCAGTTTTATCGCGACGTCGTAATAACGTAATAGCTACGTGATATTATGAAGCTGTAACCAGTTTTCGGCCCCTTCATAATCAATGTAATTAATCATCATAAACGGCTATCACTTTTTATGAAGATGTTCGGAAATTAATAGAGATCGTATCGTTAGATTCGCGCGTTAATATTTATAATTTTCTACTTTTCCGTTCAAAAAGTCGTCAAAGCTTGCGCCAACGTTGGCGATTACGTCGCGCCGGATTAACCGGCGCATTATGCACGCTATAATGTAACACAAGTTGCTTTTATGAATAATGCATAGCCGAAGGAACAGCGGGAGCCTGTAGTGGAGCACCCACTTCAGATCAGCCAGGCAAGACAAAATTGAATCTTAAGTGTACGTTCTAAAAAGCTCCGTCGATCCACTACTCGTCGTCGACCCAGTAACAAGCACCGCCTTTTTGATCACCGTTCCCGGCTCTATTACTATTAATTGTTAACCATGCGATAAAAGAGGGTCTAGTGCGCTCGATCGCGTAATTTTGACTCAATATCGCGCACTTTGATGGAAAATATCAGTAATTTACATATTTGTAAATTTGTATAGACTTTTTAAAGAAATATATATATTGTGAAAAATTAACATAATACTTTTAAAGCATAATACTTGTTAAGTTTGATATTAAATCAAATTTATGAATTAAACAACTAGAACTAACTAAACTGATTAAACATTTATTTAATTCAATTTTAATTAATGCTGAAATATCGAAAATTTGAGGATTAATAAAATAAGTGAGAAAATATAATTAAATATTGACTTGCTTTGGAAATAATTAAGAATAAAGAAATTGTGGAATATTAACATTTTCCGTGAGAGAAAATGAAATAATTACAATGCTTAACAGCTTAGAAAATTGAAGGATAGGAGGGATTCATAAAGTGAATAATATATTATATGAAAGTCAAGGAAGCTGAAAATTTGAAGGATTGGAAATATATTAGGCGAGTCCATATAAAATTAGCATTTTTATAAGATGTAGGACTAAAACTCATTACCGCAAGTCATTTTGGTATTACTGCACAAACAATCTTATAAGCTATATTAATTCAATTTTAATAAATGATTTTGTCATGACTGTCATATTTGTCATGAGATTAATTAATTCAAGTATCATCCAATTATGTAAAGCTGCGTTGAAATTATCGTTAGGATGAGATGCGAAAGTGCTGTTAAATCTAGTCAGTTGAAAATACCCGCTCGAGCGTGCCGGTGTTCTTCCCCAACATACCAACATGTCACTTAATTTATGTGCAACACATGTCAGCGCGTACTATACGATTACGCCTTGAATTTATTTAGTTTGTCGTGCGGAACTCTCCTGTACATATATTATATCAAATACTTCCGATCGTGTAATTGCATGTCCAGTCGCAGAAATGTTATCACTTTGCATAAATATCGAAAATCGTATTTACGTTATGTGCGTTATATTTCTATTCTCCATTTCTATCTTAGTTACTTCTAGCAAATATATTAAATACATCAGAGATATAATATTTTGATTATACAGGTTGTCGCAAAGTGTTGTTTTTAGGAAATTTTTCTTTTACAATGTATAAATTTTTAAATTTTCCGTTTATATTACCGTAAGTCTCTTTTTTACGTGACTTTTTAAATTCTCTGATTTTTGAAAATTTGTACATAATTTTTTAATATTCTGTTTAAGTCCTTTTCACACATTAATATATTTTAGAGATTTCAAATTTTTTTCACGAATGGACTATATTTTCTGCAGTTTATTATTTCGACGATTACTGTATCATGCCTATAATCGCATTTTATTTCTACGCAAAGGTCGACCGTTTTATCGTTCAAGTTACAGGTTTTGCGACGTCTTGTATAATTGTCTGTATATAACTATATATGTATATATACTATATCATCCGCTACTTTCCGGCTCGAGATCTTATTCCATCATAGTGAGCAAGATTAATTACGTATTACTCGTTATCCTGTCAAGTGGCGTCGATTACAGCCGGCCGGATGATTAATCGATCTGAAAATCGAGCGCTTTCTCCTTCGTTAGTAACTTGCAAAGATTCTTCGCTATGTCCATCCACGTTACGATTTCGCCGTCAATTTGCATTGATTAATTGGCGTCCAACAGGTACTATGAGATCGGCTGTAAATGTCGCGAGAATATCACGCTGCAGTTTCGATCGATCGTTACGAAAAAAGTACGATACGGTTTTTTAGCGACCTCAATCGGGATTTAAACGATACGAGAAGCAGTATCAAAATTCATAAATACGATATTTTTTTATGATTGATGCTAATAAAATTTAAATAACATGATTTAAATTTATATCATTTTTTTGCAGTTATTTTTTGAGATTAATTTTTAATAAACGTGATAGCTTCTACCGTGTTGTCCAATATATTTTTCTGTATCTGCAATATTCATATTCATAATTGTTGTTGTTGTGTTTTGAAAGGGTTTAACAAAAAGCAGAAAATTTTTTAAATTGGAAATATTATTCCCAGAATCATATATGCATTTTAAAAATATTTGTTAGTACATTGTATTTTTTTTTTTTTAAAGCGATTAGTTCGCTAAAACTAACTCAAGCCCTGTTCGGAAAAATAATGCAAATGACAATTCACATGTACATATACATATCTAACATGATATATATAACATGATATATTTGTATATTTTGTATTATAAACATGTTGACACTCTTGTGTGAAAAGTCCTTAGGAAATATTTCTTTCTATATAAGGTAAGAATTGATAATGTACAGATCGTCTCTCTTTAATTCCTGACTTCGTTCTGTCTCTTATTGTATGTTTTGTACTTCCGTCGTTGGCAGCACAGGATATATTGTTTAAAACATGCACTTATTTCCTTGCACTTTTTGTGTAAATACGATATATTAATTTATGTGTATGTAATTATTAATCTCTAATATTTATATTAATTTATGTATATATATAATTAATAATCTCTAATAATTACGTCTTTTAGTTTACCATAAACGATCTTAAATTTTCCGATGAAACTTATCGAATATGGAGAAAATATGTGAATATGCGATCTTTATTTCTCTCGCACAGTAACACCCGTTATTACGATAGCAATTTGACGGAAAATGATTGCGCCGAAAATCGCGTTGTCTGCAGGCACTCATTAGTTTACCGCTTTGCCGATCAGCGGAAAACGTGCGATTCGTTCGAATGCGAAATTGTCCTTCGCGCTTTCGAATACGAATTGTTCGACTCGGTTGACAGAATGCACGCGATGCGTCACATCGACGTTTGCGAATTAATTCGTTTTCGTCGATGATGCGCGCAGCATATGCGTCACTTCGTCAATTTGCAGGCTTCTTCATGGTTATTGGATCAGTCGAAACGCCATGAAGCCTACGATCGGCGATATGATATATATTCCTTTGAAAATCGGTGAAATCGATTTTATTATGCACATTGAAAGGTCGGACGAAAAAGATTGGATCGTGAAATTAAGAAGTTATTGCTTCTTTCCGGCACATATACGCTTATAATAATGCATCCTTCAGGTTTTTTAATAAAAATATTAGTTAGGAAGCGGAAATTGCGATAAATAAAAAAGAGAATAAACATATCTTTTGAGATTACTTTTCATTTTTATTTGAATGTAAGAATATGTACTATAAAAAACTGTTTTCTTTTGGGTATAAATAAGCTTTCAATGATATACTTGCAATTAGAAACTCTATATTGTTACTAATTAGAAACTCTATATTGAAAGTACATATTGCAGGAAAATAAATAATTACAATGAGTAGTTCTGAAACATCTTCTCTCATCTATGTCGATAACTATATCATAAATCAATCGATTAAAAAGTGAAATGATTTGTTTAAAAAAATTTTAAAAATGGTATTTCTACTAAAAAGCTTCATTTCCACACCCATTCACACACACATACGTAGATCGATAGATCGCGAGAGTAGATGAAAGTTTAGGAAGAGCTCGTAGGAAGCATTAGCATAGGTATGCCTAGCGTGCAACAATGTAGTGTGTGCTTGTGGTTGTGGATTTCAGCAGGCGTACAGTCAGTACATCCCGGCTACAAGAGCCCAAGTGTCCGAGGCCCAGGTTGGGCAGACGGGGGTCGCCATGGACGGCACTTACCTCGTCGAGGCCTCGTTCTGAAAAAAAAACCCTTCGCGCACTGTAAACCGACATTCTAAAACCGAAATCAAATCGGATTTTCCGACCAAGCAAAAAAAAAAAAAAAAAAAAAAAAAAAAAAAAAAAAAAAAAAAAAAAAAAAAAAAAAAAAAAAAAAAAAAAAAAAAAAAACCGAAAAAATAATAAAAAAAAAAAAAAAAAAAAAAAAAAAAAAAAAAAAAAAAAAAAAAAAATGTATATATATCATATATATTATAGAGCCAAAATATAATATATGTCTATCCGATCCTCGCGTCGATAAACGTAGGCAGTCTAAGAAAATCACCAAAAAAGCACAAACAACACAAGTAAAGTCACACACAGTCGCGCAAAATCTACAAAGTCAATCAATCAAATTCTTCTATTTCATCATTTCCGTGCCATCTTCTACCCCCAACGATGTCAACAACGACCACAACGATGATCACAATGACGCCGCTGCTTGGATCCATCGACGACGATTGGCGCCGCTTCATCATTCTTTCCTCTTTATCATCGCCCTTGGCATACTTGGTGGACGAAACCGCCATCGATGACGACGACGACAATGTGGACGAAAACATCGACAAACACGAGAAAACAAATCATACAAATTTATGGCGACGATAATAATAATGTGATCGACGTTATTGCCTTCATCGAACGATCGATCGAAAATTACATAGAGTCTATCCTATCAATTAACTACGAACGAGAGCAAGGACAGAGTGGTGATCATATATGGCGACCGTATACAGGTGCGAAAAAAGGTAAAGAAATAATGTTACTGCAAACAATTGTGGAAACGATAATAATAATAATTTTTAATGATCATGATAATAATAATGATGATGATGATACTAATGATAAGAGAAGAATGTGATGGGATATGACATAAATGTGATAGATTTATGTGTGATATATCAATTATTCGAAAAGCGCTTCTGCGTTTTCTGCCATGATATGAAGGACACTACATCAGGATCTCCCCAGCAGTCCCTATCCCTCCCGGTGCTCGATAATGTCTTTAAGAACGATTTCTGGATTGGCTTCTTCGATGTCCGCTTTCGAAAAAAAGAAAATCTTCTCTTTTTATTACGCTTGTTTAGGGATTCTTGCATCTTTCGAAGACTCGTCGCTGAGGGGCTATGCATTTAATACTTATACTATTTAAT